TTTATACAGGTAACGAGCTGAGATTAGGAGCACACTCATAAAGGAATGCTCCTAATCTCAGCGTGTTACCTGTTATAAAAAAAAAAATGTGTAAAAGACACCGGTCCACAGAAGCAATCAATCAGAGTCCATACTCTCCGCCGTGGCCAAGACCAAAGACCTCTCCAAGGATGTCAGGGACAAGATACTTATTTCCCTCATTAAAATGCAAATGAATTTATAACATTTTTGACATGCGTTTTTCTGGATTGTTTTGTTGTTATTCTGTCTCTCACTGTTCAAATAAACCTACCATTACAATTATAGACTGATCATGTCTTTGTCAGTGGCAAACGTACAAAATCAGCAGGGGATCAAATACTTTTTCCCCTCACTGTATGCTCTGAATCTCAGCCACCCCTAAAAGCCGGAGTACACGTTCAAGGCATTCCAGAAAGTGTTTGTGGAGCTGGACTGCTCAAAGCTCACAGTCAAGATGACAGGCCTCAAGAACAAATGACTGTCTTAAGCAGAATGCCAGGCCAGAGGACAATTGTCATAGACTGAATGTCAGGGTTACTTTGTAACACCTTCGTAGTTAAACGCTGAGGTGCCTTTTGGAACTCTTCTCTCCCTTCATTTTTTTCTGGTAGCAGGTCAGGAACGGTGTCCTCTACCACAGGCCCGCTTGTTGTTGGTGAAGCCGCCTGGGGCACAGAATCTGTGCTGGGACCAACCTCTGCCTACCGGGGGATGGTCACCGAGAGGCGGGGCTCGAGCACATTGCGGTCTGGGACCCCGTCCCCGATGGGCCCGTGGCGGTCATCTAGGCTAAAGAGGTTAGAGGGTAAGGAAGACACGTTTATTCTGGCAAGGTGTGTTTTAAAGGGTCACTGCCACAGTATTTTCCATTGTGTTTTTGTATACAAGAGATACCAAATAGGTGTTTTTAATGAAGGATGTCATTGTAAAATGTAATGTCCATTTTGTTCCCATACAGTTGCGGTTTGAAATGTCCATTTTTGAATCCGTTGTACGTACCATTTTGAGGTTTCATCATCAAGGTACACACCTTTTACCACTGGTATTTTGACAATTCTACCATCAATCAATCAATCAATGAAGTGGATCTATAAAGCCCTTTTTACATCAACAGATGTCACAAAGTGCTATGCAGAAACCCAGCCTAAAACCCCAAACGGCAAGCGATGCAGATGTAGAAAAGCGGTGGCTAGGAAAAACTCCCTAGAAAGGCACAAACCTAGAGAACAACCAGGCTCTGAGGGGTGCCCAGTGCCCTTCTGCCTGTGCCGGGTGGAGATTACAACAGTACGTGGCCATTAAGGGCACATTTCTCTCCAAGATGTTCAAACGTTCATAGAAGACCAGCAGGGGTCAAATAATAAGCACAGTGGTTGTAGAGGTTGCAACAGGTCAGTCGGTACAGTCGGTACATCAGGAGTAAATGTCACTTGGCTTTTCATAGGCGGCCATTTAGAGGTTGAAATAGCAGCAGGTGCGGTACAGATTTCTATTGGGAACTGTTGAAAAAAGGCGCACCTACAACATTAATGGGTTAAAGGAAAAATGACCAAAGTAATATACAGTGGGGAAAAAAAAGTATTTAGTCCAGCCACCAATTGTGCAAGTTCTCCCACTTAAAAAGATGAGAGAGGCCTGTAATTTTCATCATAGGTACAACGTCAACTATGACAGACCAAATGAGATTTTTTTCTCCAGAAAATCACATTGTAGGATTTTTAATAAATTATTTGCAAATTATGGTGGAAAATACGTATTTGGTCAATAACAAAAGTTTCTCAATACTTTGTTATATACCCTTTGTTGGCAATGACACAGGTCAAACATTTTCTGTAAGTCTTCACAAGGTTTTCACACCACTGTTGCTGGTATTTTGGCCCATTCCTCCATGCAGATCTCCTCCAGAGCAGTGATGTTTTGGGGCTGTCGCTGGGCAACACGGACTTTCAACTCCCTCCAAAGATTTTATATGGGGATTGAGATCTGGAGACTGGCTAGGCCACTCCAGGACCTTGAAATGCTTCTTACGAAGCCACTCCTTCGTTTCCCGGGCGGTGTGTTTTGGGATCATTGTCATGCTGAAAGACCCAGCCACGTTTCAATCTTCAATGCCCTTGCTGATGGAAGGAGGTTTTCACTCAAAATCTCAGGATACATGGCCCCATTCATTCTTTCCTTTACACGGATCAGTCGTCCTGGTCCCTTTGCAGAAAAACAGCCCCAAAGCATGATGTTTCCACCCCCATGCTTCACAGTAGGTATGGTGTTCTTTGGATGCAACTCAGCATTCTTTGTCCTACAAACACGACGAGTTGAGTTTTTACCAAAAAGTTATATTTTGGTTTCATCTGACCATATGACATTCTCCCAATCCTCTTCTGGATCATCCAAATGCACTCTAGCAAACTTCAGACGGGCCTGGACATGTACTGGCTTAAGCAGGGGGACACGTCTGGCACTGCAGGATTTGAGTCCCTGGCGGCGTAGTGTGTTACTGATGGTAGGCTTTGTTACTTTGGTCCCAGCTCTCTGCAGGTCATTCACTAAGTCCCCCCGTGTGGTTCTGGGATTTTTGCTCACCGTTCTTGTGATCATTTTGACCCCACGGGGTGAGATCTTGCGTGGAGCCCCAGATCGAGGGAGATTATCAGTGGTCTTGTATGTCTTCCATTTCCTAATAATTGCTCCCACAGTTGATTTCTTCAAACCAAGCTGCTTACCTATTGCAGATTCAGTCTTCCCAGCCTGGTGCAGGTCTACAATTTTGTTTCTGGTGTCCTTTGACAGCTCTTTGGTCTTGGCCATAGTGGAGTTTGGAGTGTGACTGTGTGAGGTTGTGGACAGGTGTCTTTTTATACTGATAACAAGTTCAAACAGGTGCCATTAATACAGGTAACGAGTGGAGGACAGAGGAGCCTCTTAAAGAAGAAGTTACAGGTCTGTGAGAGCCAGAAATCTTGCTTGTTTGTAGGTGACCAAATACTTATTTTCCACCATAATTTGCAAATAAATTCATTAAAAATCCTACAATGTGATTGTCTGGATATTTTTTTCTCAATTTGTCTGTCATAGTTGACATGTACCTAAAATGAAAATTACAGGCCTCTCTCATCTTTTTAAGTGGGAGATCTTGCACAATTGGTGGCTGACTAAATACTTTTTTTCCCCACTGTAGGTGGCATCCATCAGCAGTGCTCGTGAACAGAGAAATGTTATAGAACAAACGAGTAAAAGTGTTTAGATTATTGGGGTTGTTCAATGTTTTGGCATTGTAGTTTGAAAAATATCCCACAGTGCAAACACGAGCTATTTGAGCCTCCATTTCCGTAGGTATCCATGGTTACTATGAGAATATTTTGTTCCCCGTGACGTCTATGGGGTTGAAGCTCCATTGTATCTCTCGTAAGTAATGGTTCTGCCCACAGAGATCCTATACTAGTTAGTGTTGTAGTTCCTATTTCTACGGTTTTGCCTACCTGCAGCAATCAGGATTTACCTGCAGTGTTGATTGGCAAATCCGTAATTTCTCATCTCATAATAACCAGATGTTTTGCAAACCGTTGATGTTTAAATAAATGGATTCCCGGTGTCCGGATACCTTTTCTCTTAAGGGATCTGATTGAGTGAATCCAAAGTAAAAATGTGAAAATTTTTCTGACTTGGTCTAAATACATAATAGGATGAATCATTCAGGTAAAATAACACAATGTCTATTTGAGTTCAATCAACGTAATATAATCCTTTTTTACCTCTCATCTTTACTCTATGTATTGGACCACATCTAAACAACTTAGTCAAGCTTATCTACTCATAAAAACAAGCAAAAAGATCTACTCAATAATACGACGTGTGCTTTTGTTGACTGTAATAGCTTGAGTACATTCCACAAAGTCATTTTTTACAGTGTATCTAAAGACACGTTTGGTGTGGTGATTAACTTTTTCTTTGACGTTGAACTTGCATTGAACAGACAAATCCATTTCGTTACAACCCTTTTGTAGTATGACTTAGGAATATTTGTTGATGATCCTAATGTCTATGCTTGAATAGTGATTGGTTGTTGGTGAAATATTGCTGAGAACCCATCGTTTCCTGCCCTTTTTTCACTATTGAGCAATTTTGAAACATTTGTTTTGCTATTGGATTCATAATGGTGACCTGGGACAAGTAATTAGTGAAAACCAGAGTTCAGCAGTTGCCATTAAAGCGATCGAACCAAGTCATCCTAATAGGCTAGTATTAGCCTAAAGCAGGGTTTCCCAAACTCGGGGCACGTTTTGGGAGTTTTTGCCCTAGCACTACACAGCTGCTTCAAATAATCAACTCATCATCATCAAGCTGGAGTATTAGAATCAGCTGTGGAGTGCTAGGGCAAAACGCAAAACGCGCACCCCTTGGGGACCCCAGGACCGCGTTTGGGAAACGCTGGCCTAAAGATCAAATACTGAAAGGGAATCACCATGATGTGCAGTACCCACATTTAACCACAAGATGGCCTCCGTGCTCCACTGTAAAGTTTTGTCCTCTGCATGAGTCTCTCAGCAGCACTGCGACATGGACTTTTAAAGTAAGTTGGCATGCAATGTTTTTTTCTGGACTGCATGCAAGGCTATTATTACACACAACTAATAGTGTCAATTATTCATCTGAACACAATTCTTGTTACTATTCGGCCTATATTATCACTCGTTTCTTTTCCCCCTCCTTTGTAAAGCATTTTACTGTGCTACTATAGTTCAAAGGAAGTGGATGATGCCAGATGGTTGTGTATATACACACACACACACAAAACATTGAAGCTAGACTTCAGGGCAACTAAAAGTGCAATACGTAGATTTTAGACGTGTGTTAGTGAACAACATACATGGTGGCTAATGTAGAGGTGCGTGTATACATGGAACAATTGTGCCTTTTTGATGGAAATATGGAGGTGGCTCTTAAAAGAGCTTTGGGGGATTTTCGAGTTAAGGTCATCTCATTTATGCGCGCTCTCCACGAATACGCGGGCAGCTGGATGTCCTGTGGGCATGATGGTCACCCGCTTTGGCGTGGATGGCGCACAGGTTGGTGTCCTCGAACAGGCCGACCAGGTAAGCCTCGCTAGCCTCCTGCAGGGCCATCACGGCGGAGCTCTTGGAAGCGCAGGGTCGGTCTTGAAGTCCTGGGGCGATTTTCTCTCACCAGGCGCTGGAAGGGCAGCTTGCGGATGAGTAGCTCAGTGGGACTTCTGGTAACGACGGATCTCTCTCTAGAGCCACGGTGCCGGGCCTGTAACGGTGGGGCTTCTTCACACCGCCGTGTGGCCGTGGCACTCTTGCGAGCAGCCTTAGTGGCGAGCTGCTTCCTGGGGGCTTTGCCACCGGTGGATTTGCGAGCGGTTTTGCTTGGTTCTGGCCCATGGCGCGTCTCTGCATTTCGAGGCTATACTCCCGACTGTTCAGTGTGCTTTTGCCAGCGCGCAGTGTGTAGTTGTGTGCAGGCAGTGTACTATTGGCCTCGTTTGCGATAACAGGCTAGCATTAAAATATAACACAAGATTTCACTCTTGACTTTGACGACTATTATTGCGCGCAAAGGGCCAGCGTGTGCTATTGTACGCACGCGCTTAGTGGACTATTGTTTTGGGCGCCCAGTGTATTGTGTTGGGCGCGGGTGTCCTAAAAAAAAAGAAGAAGAAAAGCATCCCTTCCAGTAACCGACAGAGGAGTCCTCCGCAACGGGCCAATCTGGGGGTGGTGGGAGAGATGGTGTCCAACAGCAGATGCCACTGCCGGGCTTTATACATTTCACATGGGCATTCGAGGCTATACTCCGACTGTCGCGCCATGGCGAATCCTACAGAAGGCAGCTGGGCCCGCAAGTCGGCAGGTAGCTTAGTGGGGTAAGAGCGTTGTGCCTGTAACCGAAGGTCGTGGTTCTAATCCCCGAGCCGACTAGGGTTGAAAAAAAAGCAAGCACTTAACCCTAATTGCTCCTGTTAAGTCGCTCTGGATAAGAGCGTCTGCTAAAATGGACTAAAATGCATGGGAGGTGTGTTCAATAGGGCGATGATGGGCGACACTGCCAACGGGAAAGGAAGGGATTTTTTTTCTAATCATTATATTCTGCCAACCAGTAGTTCAGTGTTTCACGTCTGATCTGCCAGCCAGCTAAATGTCCAATAAGGTAAAGTCGTGCTTTTCAAAGTCCCCGCCAGGTTTGGGGCGTTTCAGTCAGGTGAAAATCGCCCGAAGTCTCTCATAGCCTCCTAATTAAATATTGTTTTTTCAAAATTCTGAGTTCAATACATTTCTAGGGGTGGTCTGAGGGCTTGCACTAAGCGCTTTCGTCATACGTAACGTACGTAACCATGAACGGCAACAGCAAAGCTTGGACAGCGACTGGTTGTGGTTTAACCGACATTGCACCCAGCCTTTCAGAAAAGGATTAAGCAAAATGAGCTGTCAAAGACCCACTTGATAGCTTGTTTGAGAATGTCGCTTGGGTGAGAGTGAATATTGCCACTCAATGGATGAGGGATGAATAAAGGCTAGCTGTCGCCGCCAACCACGATGAGGTAGAAAACAGCAGAGTCTGAACACTGTCTAAGAGAATCGAGACGACCTCATAGAATTTTTGAAGCCATCCGGCAGGGGTGGTGCATTGGGTTTATTTGACCGCCACCGTACCAGAAGCTACAGAATAAGGACTCCGATGCTGGTCTTTATCAAACGTGCCCTCGACCGGTCGCAAGCAGTGTGCAGGCCGAAGGTAAGATAAAGATTAAAAACAATATCTTTCGATCTTTCTCAAAGCAGAGGCTTTATTGAAAATGTATGCATGAAAGGAGACTGCATTGTGTTTGAAATTACATTCTTTGTCATTATGATAGGGCCAGTGGGTGTTGTATCTATGCTTTATTTATATACTATGTGTTAATGTACAGTGGTGCCATAAGGTATGAAAATTCTAAGCTGACTAAAAAGGAGGAATAAAAAAAAATAAAAAAATCTCTTTGGAATTGATCTTAATGACTTAATTAAAAAAGTTGGGAAAAACCAACCTTTAAGGACACCAATTTTATTTATTTTTTATTCCTCTTTTAGTAAACCTTTAGCATGGGATCATAAGATTATAGCAACACTTGTTATACTGGCTGAACATCAGGCTAGTGAGACACAAAAGGCTAACTTAAACAATAAAGACTTTATGCATCCATGCCCATTTTAAGTGGAACTGAAGTATGTACTACATGGGATACATGCATCTACCTGGGCATCATAGACAGACAATACTGTCAAAGCCAACACACACATTTGGTAGGTTTGCCTTCAGGGACGCCTCTCAACAAGCAGCTGCAAGAAGCAAACAGGAGCCACAAGACCCCAGAAAAGCTTTGAGAGAGAGGAAAGCAGAGGCTGTCTGAAAGAGGTCTGGCAACACCATCCCTGACACACAAGAAGGTTCTCTTTCCGGGGCCCCACCTTGTGCGTGCTACCTTACTGCAAGCAGGAACTGTTTTGAAAGGTACTGCATTCAAAAAATAAAACTATGTTCATGTTCATTTTTACAATCTATACAATTGGCCATCTATGGTTGTTCATATTTACAAATTCTAACAAAATTGGCCAGCAGAATATGGTTGTTCATTTTACAAAGCCATAACCATATTGTTTATGCAGTTGTTGAGGAATGTGAAAGACCCCTTGATTATTTTTATGTGATTACGTACTATTGTGCTTTTGTAAGCCAAACACTTTGAGATCAGTCAATAAATGCTTTGGTATTGATTATAGGCTGCCCTGTCTTCATGTTGTTGATGGACATATCTTTTTAAAAAATGTGTGTAGGTCACCTAAATCATCAGAAAAATGGCCTCTGAGAATTTTTAAGGAGCGCGACTTGCGCTAAAATGTAAAAAATGTAAGTTGCGCGCAGGAGCGCGCCTCCCCCGTTTACGAGCCCTGCCAGCGCATGGGAGAAAAATCTCCCAGTGCTTCAAGATCGACCTGCGTTTTTAGAGCTCCGCGGGGATCGCCATGAGGGTGAGGCTAGGAGGCTCACCTGTCGGTCTGTTCAAGGACACCAAACTGTGTGCCATCCACGCAAAGAGGCGTGTCCATCGTGCCTAGGACATCATGATGGCCCACTGTATTCCGCGGAGAGCGCGCAATATGTGACCTGATCTCCAAAAATCCCACCTCCCATTATTTCCATCAAAAAGGCACCCATTGCTTCATTTATACGCGACCTCTACATTCTCACCATGATATTAACCTGTCTTAAAGCTACGTTTCACGTTTACTTGCCTGAGGGTGATTGAAATAAACACGCATAAATCCAAAGGGATGATCTACAATAGGTAAGAAGGCGGCAGGCCGAATACTACAGCCAAATAATTGGACAAATCAGGAAGACAAAGGAAGTCTCGGTGAATGCGTTGGCTTTATTAAAGCACAGTTGAAGGACAGCACTTCTGATCATCTCCACTCACGAGACGGGTAAGAGAGGAGATCCGTTGTGCTGAAATGTTACAAAGTGGTACACTA